TAAATATAGCAGTAAAGAGTTTATAAGATAGCAAAAGAAAGCCTAGGGGATAGAGACATGCCCAGCTCTAGGCAGTTCCCGTTTTGTATTCAGGATTTAACTCCACACCCTCTACCAGCCTACTGATGCTGCCTCTTCAGTGGTCTTATGGCTATAGCCTTTGTGTTCCTCAGTCTCTTGTGTTTCCTTTAACACCAGTCTTATTTCTTGATTATGCAAGTTTAAATAAATCAAGAGGCACAAAACTATAACTGCTGATAACCATACAGGAACTTTTAAAGAGATTCAGTAAAGTTCCGCAGACTATGGGAGTCATCTGATTGACACAAACCTCTCCATACTCCCTCATTCAATTTCTCATCCAGTTTACCAAGGCTAGAGAAATGGAGAATAAGGAGCATTTAGTAGAGTGGCTGAGCAATTGTTGATTTCTCTCCTTTCCTTTAACAATCCCACTAAGTTGTAAGACAAAAATCCAGATTGGTACCAAAGCTTAAAATTAACATTGCAATGTCGCTGACAAATTTTGGTCAAAGGGACAAGTAAATAAACGCATACATGGATGCTATTTACTCTACAAAAATAGTTTTTGCCTGAGTTTGAAGTTACAAAGAGGCTGATTAGTGATGCTTTCACTCAGGATGATGAATTCCTCTGCTTTGCACTGTTATTCAGTATCTGTTGAATAGCAGATATTGTTGCTATTGGATTAGATTTTCACAATGTTGTCAGCCATGCATAACTGAAAGTAACATTTTTGCTATCAAATATTTAGGGACTATGTCAAGCTCTCCATGAATTCAGCAATCTTGCAAACATTATAAATGGCAACATGGAAAACATTTAAACCTTTACTAATTCTGTACCCACAAAACTCATGCCAAATACCAACGGACAAGGTTCCTAAGACATGTCTTTGGCCATACCTCATGCTTACCTAATACACAGGAAGAGAATCCATTCTGAATAGTGGATACATGGTTCTGAGTTTTGCCCAGCTTTAACACTATTCATCCTGAGTGGCACTGGAATGTGGAGGCTGGCTTTTAGCCCTGGTCTGGGGACATTCCCTGTCACAACCCTGACTCAGATCAAAATGAGACCAACAAACGACTAAAAGGAGCCCAAGTTTCTGGAGTTAAGATCTGGATTTGCATCCTGATCCCAACATTTAATAGAATATCACTGGACTTTTTTAAATTCTCTATGACTCAGAATCCTTACAACGTGATAAAACAAAAAGCCAACAGTTCATACTGCCCTGGTGTTTTATTGAGATTTATGTATAATAAGCACTGTCAATAATTTAACCCAGTCTCTAGTCTATAGTGACATGAATTCTTACAAGATAATGTTCATTTTTGCAAATCTGTGATTCATGCGACTGTGGCATCGTTCATTTACCATTAATAGAAACAGGTGATTCTTTCCATGCCAACTCTTTAGAAAACATAAAAATGTAAGAATTTCCCTGGTACACAATATGCCAGTATTGTTTTGTGAATACTAGAAAAGGACTTGAACAAATCTTCAACTCAACTGGTATGAACGCTTTTAATGTATGAATTTATAGGATATTATTAGGAGATTACAGCAAACACTGCAATTTAATCAGGAAAAATCAATCAAACAAGGAACAAACACACAAAACTCAAACCAAACCCAAAGTAAACAAACAAAAACATGCAAGGAACTGTCCAGAACAGAGGAATTCTGCAACTTCATTCCGGTTTATTCATTCCCGAGTACCTTCTGCATGTCAGGTGCTGTAGGGGGCTGGTGAAGAGACAGGGGTACTGCTGACACTCACAGCCTAGAGGAGGAGTCTCAGGAACACAGTACAGAGTGGACTGTACAAAATGAAGGTTCTGTCTGAGGAAGCAAGGTATTCTTGTGTGGCAATGGAGTCCTCATACAACCACCGACACTTAAGCTCACTAAAGCACTTTTGAATTAATATTTTACGTTCTCACGGAAAGCAATGACTATCCTATGGTGAAATCCATTGCATTGTATATAATTAGAATCTTTATCCCAAAGAGCGACAGCATCCCAGCAGAAGAGAGACATGAGGTGAGCTTTAAAGAGTGAGCAGGGATAAGCCAATCTGAAGATGAATATAAAGAGATGAAAAGTAAACCTAAGGCAACCGTCCAATTTGTTTAGACTAAACCACGGAAAACCCATGATAAAAAGATACAGAGCAAGGCATTGATTAAAGCAGAGTTTTACTTAAGACACCCGATCCTACTAGAAAATTTTAAATAAAATATTTTGAAGTTAATACTTTTTGGATAACGTAGAAACATTTTTCATGTAACACAATTAATGATTTGAAAGGCTCTACAGAAAACCAAAATTCTATTCCTGATCTTTTTTATGCTGCTATCACTCAAACAATATTACTTTGGTTTTTGGAAATTGTCAGCTTCAGAAAAAAAAATCTGCTTTTTGATATTCAATGAAAGATTCTGCAGAACAATGTGTAAGAATTTATTTTCAATTTTTTTCCTCTGTTGACATTTCCAAAGATGAAAGGAAAGACTGCAAATGTGCTATGCTTAGGAAATTTATATTCTCACTACACGTTATGGCTTCCCCATCTTTCATCTATCTTGCTGTATTATTAGGTCCCATTATCCTCTGAAACCACCGCTGCATATTAACAGAAAAGTACACACGCATTAGAAATGACCAAACGTCTCCGTTGCAGTGCTGTTGATGTACTAACTAGGGACTTAAACTGTGACTTTTGTTCAATAGACTTTGAAGTTCAGCTCACTTTGTAAATGAATGAGGTGTACGAAGAACCCAGGTAAAGGCATAGAGGTGAAGTAGGGATAAACATGTTTAATGGACCAATTCGTTCATTGTTTCCCCTAAAACGGAAGAAGAGATGTGTCACAATGCAATGCCACATGCCTTATGCTCTGCCTGGAATTTGCTCTGTGAAACAGGTTTTAAAATTAGTTAATAAACGAAGAAAGTAATGAATGACTGAAGTGAATGAAAATGATTTGTAGGTACACATGCATATATATATAAATATGTAAGAAGTTCATATGAAAACACTCGTTTAAACATTTGTTACAGGAATTCAGTAGCTTAGGTGGCTGAAGGCTTTCTGTTCTGAGGGTGGAGGAAAGCAGTTTAGGAACATATTGTTGTAGGCTTTCAAAAGGTCGTTATAACCAAAGGCAAAAACAAATCAGCAGGACCTAAATCAGTGTAGGCAAAAAACAAACCTGAGCTCTTTCACTGCTGCTTAGAAGAACAGGAGAACCAAGCAACTGCTTCCTTGTTTTTTTATTTTATGGTCTGAATATCTTGGGAATTTTATTCCTCTCAGAATGTATAGCAAAATACTGAGCAGATGACATTCACAACCATTGGTTAATCCTGCAAATCCACCCCCAAAGAAAGGCAGTCATAACACTGTGCTAACAAGGGATCTTTCAAAACCTGACCTTGAATCAGAGGCCCATCATCATCTTACCGCATGCCATAAGCTATAATGTACATGCAGAATTCTCATTCTCTTATTTAGAACTTTCAAAATCACATAAATTTTCTCATTATCTTATTGCTGCACATTAAAATTATTTTGATTCCCCTTAGGTATTAGGTCCTTGAGTCTTAAACATAAGAACCTAAGAAAATGAGTTAACACTGCTGGCATGGAGCAAATCAACACATGTGGCTTTGGGGTTTAAGAAATTGCCAGGAAAAGGCTACACCTTTCACTCTTAAAGGAAACTTCAGCTGGTCTCAGGCGGTCACGATAACTGGACAACAACAGGTAAAACTCATGGAAGCAAGTTCAGGTATCTTGAATCTGAAGCATTTAATAAATAGCACTAGAAAGGTAGTCAGGGCTGATACAGATAGGCAAGGCCAAGTTCAAAAGAAACAGAACATTTTAAAATTAGGTAGTCTTTAAGCTGGAGAGATGGCTTAGCTGTTAAGAACATTTGCTGCTCTTGCAGACAAGCCAGGTTTGGGTCCCAGTATCTAGCAACGGTTCCTAACTTCAGTTCCAGGGGATCCAACACCCTCTTCTGGCCTCTTCAGGCACCAGGTGCTCATGTAGTACACATACATATATGCAAGCAAACACTCACACACATAAAGTAAACATAAATAAATATTAAAACAATAAATTGAATAGTCACTTTGCCTTTTTCTCCTGTCTTTTCCTTATTGTGTAGTTTCCCACATATTGTTTGAGAATAAATAATTGATATTGGGAATAGATATCTTATTTTCACTCAAGAGTGAAGAGAGAACCAATATTTCATGGAAATATAAATAGCCTTTTGAGAACCAGACTCAAACACTAATTATGATGGGATAGATGTAAGTGGTCCGAGGTTTCTTTATTAAATATCTCTAGCCTATGGTAATTTCGTGGAAAGTTTTCCTCTACAATTAGCCTTTTAAACATCTTGTTCCTGACAAATCAAGAAGCTAAGAAAGACACGAGAAAAGTTGTAGCAGTTTCAGTTACTGCTGAACAAAACATGTCTCCTTTATCAATAATTACTAATAATACATTTTAACATAATAGCTTATAACTTGCTGTTGGTCTTTATATCCACCCACACATTTTATACTTTCTATGTATTTGTAAGGAAAAGATTTTGAATGCATATATAAGAAATATTATAAAAGCATATTTATTAAGTAAAGAAGACTCAAGTTCTATGTGTGACCCTCTAAATATAAAAGACCTATACATTTGAAACTCTGAGGATTCTAAAGTTCATTAGCTTTTATTACAAGTAAATGTATGTATTTTAACACAGATATCAAAAGCCGTTTCCCATTATTGAACCACTGTTCAGTGTGAGAATAATTATCAATTTGGCAAACAATAAATGCCACCTACTGACAGGTGAATAGAAATGCTGTAAAATGTAACACTGATTTTATGGGCAATATTCACTTGGCTGCAATTAGATTTTATCACATTTTGATGGATTGTGTCTGACAACACTCACCTCTTTTTGACGGTACTTAATGGCTAACTTTAGTCTTGCAAGATCATTTCCACTTTGTTCTTCAATCAGGCTGTTGTCATCTCGGTAATTAAGAATGATTTCCAGCTCTCTGGAACTCCGTGTCTGATCTAGAAGGTCCTTAGCAAACTGTTTGCACTGTCGAGACAGCTCCTCATACTCCGACTTGAATTCATTTTCCACTTTGCTCAGTTCCTGCAGCTCCCAACTTAGTTGAAAGGCAGTCAGGAAAGGATCTTCACTGGACAGTGCGATGAGGGAGGGGCTAGCCAAGGCCTTGTAGATGTTGAGCCTGGACCTCGAGTGCCTGAGGCTGTCCACATCTGAACTGGAGACACACTCAACACAGTTACAGCGAACCTCATGAGGTCTGGGCACCGAGACACCTTTCTGGACCAAAAGTTTTATTATCTCATAATTATTTGTATGGGCTGCCAAAATGATTGGTGTAATGTCCGGAGTAAATTCAGAGAACTGCTTATCAAGGAGGATGGGAGGCACCTAGGGAAGAGAAGAAAGCAGAGGGCCATGTTCATTCAGTTCTCTAAGCTGTGAATTTCAAACAGCACAGAACAGTAGTGCTGGGCAAGTTCATAAATCATTTGTCAGGTTTTCTTGCAAAACAGATACATTTCCCCCAAAAAAGACAAGAAAAATTAGAGGAAAAATTAAATCCAATACAATAAAACATTCTTTCTGTAATATAAATTGTGACTTTGGAAATCCTAAATAGGTGGCTATGGAAACAGCTTACTTGATAAAAGCCTTTCTTATGCCTAACTTACTTTCTCACAGATACTGATTTTTCTAAATAGTCAATAAATAAACTGAAAAACACAGCTGGTTTGAAAATAGATCTTGCCTTTTAACTCCTCAGTGTTACGCTTTATCTGGTTGTTTATGCAGAACTTTATCTTCTTATGCTATTCAATACAAAAAAGAATTGCCGTACATTCATTCACAAAGGGGCCCCTTTCTTCTTTTCTTCCTGAATATTATTCTGATCTGGGGAAGTTTCCTTTATTTTAGAAAACATACTAGTATTCATTGCTGTAATTAGTCATTTTATATTTGTTGTGAAGTGCAACATGCAGTAAAATGCCAAATGCAGCTACATATGGTGAATGACGTCTAAGCATTAATGCTACTCTAGTAATGTTTTAAAAGATGAACAAGACCTCGCTCTGCTTCCCTGGGCCTGCAAAACCCATTGGCCTCTCTCCTGGGTAAGTCCACCACACCCTCCACACCTTGACTCCACCAGCTCCATTCACCCTCCCATCTCCCCACCCTGCCCGTCTCTCCTCCTAGCCTGGGTACAGTTCCATTCATTGTCTTGGCACCCCAGACACTGGGGAGACCACCACTGCTTCCTGATCCTTTGCATCCAGACCAACCCAGTTCCTTCTCGTGGTCCCTGGGAGCCCTCTGGGCCTGGTCCTGTCCTCACCTCCCTCTGCTTCCCTGGGTTGCACAATCTGCCAGCCTCTTTCCTGAACACTGGAACTGACCTCAACAGAATCGGAGAAGAAAATTTCCCCAAATTAAAGAAAGACATGCCCATACAAATACAAGAAGCATATAGAACACCAAACAGACAGGACCAGGAAAGAAACTCTCCACAACACATCATAGTAAAAACACTAAGTGTACAGAACAAAGAGACAATACTGAATGCTGCAAAAGAGAAAAAAGTTACATATAAAAGAAAACCCATCAGGATTACAGCTGACTTTTCAGTGCAAACTATGAAAGCCAGAAGAGCCTGGACCAAAGTATTCCCAGTTTTAAATGACCACAGATGCCAACCCATATTATTATACACAGACAAAATGTCTATTATAGTCGAAGGGGAAAGAAAAATCTTCCATGACATAACAAGGCTGAAGGAATTCAT